AGGGCCACTGACCGATCGAAGATGGCTCCCACGCCTGCAGAATGGGCTGAGTTGCGGTGCACGTGAAGACCTGTGGCAAGGAGGATGCCATCTCGGACATCAATGGATCGATGGGAGAAGGAGGCAATAAGGAGTTCGTTCCAGCCTGGGTGGGGGCGCAGCAAGGGTCAGGAGCCAGAGATCAGGCCATGGGATTCAAAGCACACCAGTGAAAGAGAAGAGGTGGTGATGTCAGTGAGCTTCGCTCCCTGAGTAGTTAAGTGTGCACCAGGTTCACTGATGGTCATGTCAAAGAGGGGTCAAAGGGATACAAGATCACTGACCTGCCCGTAGCAATATGACCTGGTCATCCAGTGGTAAGGAGGAAAAGTGCGGGATCCTCTTCGCCCACTCAACAAGCGTAAATAGCTGTTTGTCAGCTGCCTGACAGATGTTAGTCACAGGGTCATTTGGCTGCAGGGGATGGGGGGCAAGAGTTATGGGAGGTTTGGAAGTATACTGGGAGTCCCCCCTTGTAAGAGACTTTTGGCACCCCCTTCTACAACATAGTATTTCTTCAAGCCCCATCTAAACCAATCCCTACAAAATAGGCTTTTCTTCTGGAATTCGTGAAAACATTTATTTGGGACTTGCCTATGGTTCTGCCAGCCACTGGGTTATTTTGGAGGTGGGGATGGAGGATACTATCACGCCCACCTCAGGTACTTAAGAGACCTTGTTTGGCAGCACCTCCAGTCCCAGATAGTGTTAGGAGGGTTGTGAGGGGAGGGGAGGGGGAGACAGAACAGACCTAGGCTCCCACCCCCCATCACGAAGAAGAGTGGATTGACCCCATCACTCACGCTGCTGCTGCTACCCCCAGTTCCCCCAGGACCCTCAACGCCCTGGTCACTCTTCTGCTCCACAGCAAGCTCTGCCTCCAGGATCCTGTCCACAGGCATCTCCTCAGGGGCTCCCCCAGCCCCCTCCCCATCCCCGTCCTTGTCCTTCCCCCGCTGACGCTCCTCCTGTACCGCTGTGGGGGGAGGGAGGAAGAAAAAGTGGAAAGTCAGCAGCCAGCCATGATGAGGTTCTGAAATGTCCTTAGGGCCTTACCAGGGTCTTATGGCCCTTAGGAGATATTTATAGGAAGTGGGGAAGTCACTACAAATTACGATGGACTGGGGGCAGTCTAGAAGCAGGGGTTATAAAGGTCACATAAACCAAGAAAAAAAAGGGAAGCAGAGTGTAAAGGAATTAGAGAAAAGGTAACATTTAAACTGAGGGCCTATTACATACTAAGGAATGTGTCAAACACATTTTAACATTCACTCTATTACAACAACCTTGTGGGCCCTGGTCCTCATTTTATTTTTTTAAATATGTCTATTAATTTTAGAGAGTCAGAGACAGAGAAACATCAATGTGAGAGAGAAACATCAACTGGCTGCCCCCCATACCCACCCCAACCAGGGACTGAACCTGCAACCTAGGTACATGCCCTGACTAGGAATCAAACCCCCAGCCTTCTGGTGTAGGAGACAACCAACTGAGCTACCCAGCTGGGGCCTTGTCTACATTTTTAAAGATGAAGAATTTCGGGCTTGGAGAAGTCAAATAGCTTGCCCAAGTTCACACAATACATGGTAAGTCACATATCTGAATACAAGTGTGCCTGACTGCAAATCTTGAGCTCTTCTGACTCAACAGAGAGGCAGTATAAGGAGCACTGCCCTGAGTCTTCAGAGATGTGAGTTCTGATCCCAGCTCTGCCACTCTTTTATTGCATGATCTTGGAACACTAGGCCTCGTGCTCATCTCTAAAATGAAGAATTTGATCAAAATATCCTCTAAAGTATCTCTCTCAGAATTCTAGAAGCAGACTGAAGAAAATAAGGTAAAGAAGAGGGAAGGCAGCCCTGAGGTCTTCAGTATAGTCTATAGCTTAAGAGAGTAGAATGCCAGAGTTGAAGGAGAGACCACAGTAATAGGGAGACAGAGATAAGAGAGGGAACACTGTGTCAAAGAGAGGAAGAGCTACTCAGGTTAGAAAGGGGACAGAGAGAAGCCCATCATGGGTAAGGAAAGTTATCCTACCCTCACACCAAACTAGGCAGGGGTCACAGGTGCAGGCCAGAGGCAGAACCATTAAGAAGAAAACTCAAGGGACCAGATCAAGGTATCAGGGAGAAGAGCTGATGAGGACGGGAGAGAAATCAAATAACGCCCTCTGGAGGACAGAGAAACCAGTCCAGCCTTCCAGAGAGGTTAGAGGTTTCCTGAAATCTGTCTTCCTCCCCACCCCTCTCCCACAGGGTAGACCGGGAAGCCTGGGTAGGACAGGACCTTACCTTCCCTCTTCATGCCAGTGGCCAAGCACTTCTGATAGCGGCAATACTGACAACGGTTCCGCTGGCGCTTGTCCACCGTGCAGTCCTTGTTGTCCCGGCATGAGTAGGTCAGGTCCTTACGAATGGTACGCTTGAAGAAGCCTTTGCAACCCTCGCAACTGTAAACCCCATAGTGTTTGCCTATAGGTGGAGGAAAACAGCAATAACAAGGCTGCAGGTAAATCCCTCACCATTAAGTCTTTTGCCAACCTGCATTCAGCAAACTTGAGTCTACTCTGCATTTGCCAAATACAGAGCTGGAGAATGAGGGCACGAGAGGCAGTCCAGTCCCACTCTTCCCTCTGACCACCCCCGCCCCAAACCTCAGCTTCAGGTTCTTTAGCTCTCATTGGGCCTCCCCCTGCTCACTTGCTCCAAAGAAACCCCATGAGGCCCTGGGAATCCCATGGGGGATGATAAATGGCAGGCTCTCTCTCTTTCTTCCTTTCTGGTGGTCCTCTGAGCCCCATACCTGAGCTTCGGTCCCCACAGATTGCACACAGTCGTTTGCCAGCTCCAGGGCCACCTGGTGGAGGTGGACAGTGCAGGCCCCGGACCCCTAAGACTGGTGGCTTCACATCTTCAGGGGTGCCAGACCCACCCCCAGGGAGCGACACTGTTGAGTTAATCTGGGATAGGGGAAATAGGGAAGTCATGGGGAGACTCACTGGGAAAGAGAATCTCTCAAAGGTGATGGAAATCATGCCCTAACACCTAGGCAGGGCCCTGCACTGAACGTCTATCTCAAAGGACATTATTACACTGCATCCATGTGAAGGGCCAACCCTAGAGCACAACCCCGAGATTAGACATACAATGTCCCCTGAAACTGTGCAACACAGTCACCCTGAAAGGCATGTATCTCAGAAGGGCAGATGGGACCAAAGGGGCAGAAAATCACTGATAGATGAAAGGGACATTCAGGATATTAGGGCTCCTTTATAGGGTTGGGTAGGAAGCATGCATTGCAATTTCACCTCGGGAAGGACACAGGGTCTCACAGGGACCATGGGCCTGCCAGAGTTAGAGGTCTGGAGGTCAGTGGATCATGGGGAAGTTCACACAAGAATCTGGGGTCACAAGGAAAACAAGGAAATGAATGTGGAAAGGTAGAATGTGGATCACGACCTCTCACCTGAGGACTGCTGACAGGCCCGGAAAATCCTGGGGGAGCTGGAGGGGGCAGACCAGGGGACCCCATGGAAGAACTGATGACTGGGAAGGGGGAGCCCAGTGGGGGTGGAGGCATTGGGGGTGGGGGTGGAGCCCCAGAGCCTCCAAGAGACTGGGTTGCTGAAGATGGTAGAGGTGGCCCAGGAGGAGAATGGGGAGGGGCACCTTGGGGAAGGGGATTTTGGGAGGAACTGTCTGGGCTTCGGGAGTCTGAGGGAGGGGTACACAGAGGCACAAAGACACACAGACAGGAGAGACAAAAAAAGGAAAATGAGTCTTTGATCATGCACCTGAAGACTTGTTCACATCCTCTACTACTCCCTGACCCATCCCCTACATCCACCCCTACCCCTCTCACCCCCATTCCCTGAACTCACCCCCATCCCCAAGTTGAGACACCCTGTTGTCACACAACAGTGTAACTCCTAATTGTGGCGACAAGGAGGAGGGTTCACAAAGAAAAGGAGGATAACTCAGGTAAGAAAGAACTCCAAGCAATGTATCTGGTCACTGCAAGCCAGAGGCCCAAGCCAGACTTGTGTGGGTGGGGCAACACGTGGAAATCCTCCATTCCCAGCTTACAGCCCAGGCGTGCAAGAAATAGAGATAAGCGGACGAAACCCCTTCTAGGACGGAGGTCCTGTATTCAAACGTCCGGAGCCCTCCAACTCGGGGATTCCTCACCCATGCCAGGGAGGGGCGGTGTGTAGGCCATGAAGCAGCCAGGGCTATAGCGCGGAAGCTCCCCCCAGCCAAACACACAAACACACCGCCCCGCCCCGGGGGCAGGGCGCTAAGGCCCTCCAGAGGCAGGGGACACGTGTTTACAAACAAGGGGGCGGGAGCGCCAGGGAAGAGCTCTAAGGGAGGGGGGAGAGGTTGCACCTAACTCGGTCACTGCCTAACAAGTCGGTTCGCTAGGACACTCACCCCGCCCGCAGTCGCCCATCCCGTCCCGTCCAGTCTCCCCCAGCTCCGACTCCGGCTCCGGGGTTTGCTGTTCTCCGGCTGCCGCCGCCGCTGCGGGATCGAGCCAGGGCCGTCGCCGCCGCCACCGGGACGCGACCCCACAATGCATTTCTTTTCGCACCCCCACCGGCCCACACTGCCCTGCGGCATGCCGCTGGGGGAGGAAGGGCGGGCGAGCAGCCCAAGACATGATTCTTGGCTGAGTGTAAAGATATCAAGAGGTACCAAAGATTCCCAGGGGTTGATTGAGGGGCTAGCTGAGCACGAAGAAACCCCAAAGAAAAAGACTCTGGTCTGAACCGGATCAAATTAAGCGCTTCGATCTGCTCTGCACCAAAACAACAGCACCTATGTAGCAGCCATCTTGGTATAGACGGGAAGTCTCTGAGCTAGTTCCCTCCCCCTCGTAGAGATTAAAACGGAGGAAGCGGTCTCCTCCGGCCTGTTAGCTGGCCTCACTCACCCTCCCCTCAAATAACCTCCTCACGCATGCGCGCCAGGGCAGGTTGGCTTCGCCGCTACCGGAGTGCCGCCACATTGGTAAAGGCATTGGGACCGAGGTAGAACGGAACTTTCTGTTCTCGCGGGAGCTAGGACTGCCACGTCCGAGGAAACAGGGAAAGGAGAGGATCCTGGAGCCGGTAAGAATTTCTCGCTTCCCCCTACCGTCCTTTCCAGGTTTTTTCCCCCCACCTTGTCGTACAGACTAGGGCCCAGAGAGTCCATAAAGTGGTTGCTCAAAGCTTAGAGTGGTGTCCCGGGGGCCCTACATCGGAAGGAGGTTCAGAATAAAAAGAACGAGTCCTGGGAACAATGCGGGTGGGGGCAGAATGGAATGGGAAAGCGGCTTATAGAAGTGGATGGAGGGCGCGAGCGGAGTAAAGCGGACCCTGCATAGGTACAGAGTTGAGGATCAAGTGGAGTCACTGTCTCTGTCCTTCTTGTCAGCGTGATGGCCAGAGGCCTGGGGCCCCCCCTCTGGGTGGCCGTGGGACTGCTGACCTGGGCGGCCTTGGGGCTGCTAGTGGCCGGACACAGGGGTCATGGTGACTTGCATGAGGACCTGCACGAGGATTTCCATGGCCAAAGCCACTCACATGAGGATTTTCACCATGGACACAGCCACGCCCACGTCCATGGCCACACTCATGAGAGCATCTGGCATGGGCATACCCACGGTCACGGCCACGGACATTCACATGAGGATTTGAACCATGATCATAGCCATAGCCACTCCCATGAGAGCCTCTACCACAGAGAACATGGACATGACCATGAGCACAGCCATGGAAGCTATGGGGAGGCTCCAGGCATCAAGCAGGACCTGGACACTGTCACTCTCTGGGCGTATGTGAGTCCCAAGGAGATAGGGGAGAGAGGGACTGGTTCTGGATTGTTAGGAAACCCAGTATACCTGACCCGTGACCTTCCCTCACCAGGCACTAGGCGCCACAGTGCTGATCTCCGCAGCTCCGTTTCTCATCCTCTTCCTTATCCCCGTGGAGTCGAACTCTCCACGGCACCGCTCTGTGCTCCAGATCTTGCTCAGTTTTGCTTCCGGTGGACTCCTGGGAGATGCCTTCCTGCACCTCATCCCTCATGCCTTGGGTAAGTAATCTCAGGTCTCTACCTCAAATCTTAACATATTCTTTGGGCAAAGGGGTTCTTTCTCCTTTGTGATCCCTGACTTTCCAATATTTCTGCAAATTCATATCCCTGGGGTCGGGTATTCATTCTCTCATCTTGCCTTTTTCCCCCTTCTTCCAGAACCTCATTCTCACCACCTTCAGGAGCAGCGGGGACATGGACACTCCCACAGTGGTGAGGAAGGGGTGGATGGAGACAGGGATTGGGGTGCTGGGGAAGGTCCACCCCTCCCAGTTCTTCTCCTATACTTGAGGAGGAGGAGTCTGAAATCCCTATCTCCCTTATTGTCTCATTGCCTCCTTTCCCAGGCCAGGGCCCCATTCTGTCTGTGGGACTATGGGTCCTTAGTGGAATTGTCGCCTTTCTTGTGGTGGAGAAATTTGTGAGACATGTTAAAGGAGAACATGGACACAGTCACAGTCATGGACGTGGTCACACACACGGAAGTCATGGACATGGAACACAGGGTAAGTCCAGGAACAACTTTCCTGAAAGCCACCTTGCTTGCCTCAGAATCCCTTCATCCTATGGCCCCTGTTAGGAAGGGACTTCCCTTCTGAGGACATACCAGGAGGTCTCTGTCCCCCACCTTTACCAACCCTTTTCTTCTCTCAGAGCATTCTTCAAAGGAGAAACAGAACTCAGAAGAAGAAGAAAAGGAAGTAGGGGGATTGAGGAAGCGGAGAGGAGGCAGCACAGCGCCCAAGGATGGGCCAGTGAGACCGCAGAATTCTAAGGAGGAAAAAACAGGTTCAGGTGAGGTCCAGGGTTGGTAAGAAGCTTGGGCAAGGGGCATCATCATGAATCACGTGGAATATGTGCAGTGGGTAATGGCAGGTGTCTGGAAAGCACTGAGGGGCTGGGCGTGATGTGGTTTCTGTGTGGGGAATGTGATAATGGCTGAGCAGGGCCAGGATGGGGATGACGGAGCATCTAATTGTTTTGTCTTCCTTTTCTCCTGTATAAGATCTGCGTGTATCAGGGTACCTGAATCTGGCTGCTGACCTGACACACAACTTCACAGATGGTCTGGCCATTGGTGCTTCATTTCGAGGGGGTTGGGGATTAGGGATCCTGACCACAATGACTGTCCTGCTACATGAAGTGCCCCATGAAGTCGGGGACTTTGCCATCTTAGTCCAGTCTGGTTGCAGCAAAAAGCAGGTTGGTGATGATGTGCACTAAATGTGATTGCTTCAGACCCTTTACCCTCTGCTCAGCCACCCCAAACCCAAGACTGCTTCTCCTTAGTGCCAAACAAATCATACTGTTATTAACAATAAGCCTAGAAATGTTGGAGAATTCTCTTTCCTTTTCCTGTAGTTATTTCTTGAACTGTTGGCCATAGAGCATCTCAATGGTTTATGGGGGTCTTTCATACCACATTCCCTATCCTGGATTACTGAATCAGAAGGTCTGTGGAAAGAACCTTTTTTCTTATTTTAAACCCTCAGCCAAAGATATTTAGAGAGAGAGAGAGAGAAACATGGATGTGAGAAAGAAATATTGATTGGTTGCATGCTCCCGTACATGCTCTGACCAGGGATCAAACCCACAACCTTGGATGTGCCCTGACTGGGAATCAAACCTGCAAACCTTTGGTGTATAGGACAATGCTCCAATCAATTGAGCCACCCAGCCAGGGCTGAAAAGAACCTTTTTGATATCTAAGGTTTTTCAGAAAGTGTTTATTCTAGATCCCTGCCCTTTTTTGCCATATTCTTTTGTTTCCAAAAACACACATCCCACCATATATACCTATACCCTACTAGCCACATCTAAGCCACTTGTAAACTTTAGATATTGATGAGTGTCTCTCTTTTCTACCCACCAGGCGATGCGTCTACAACTACTGACGTCAATAGGGGCCCTCGCAGGCACAGCCTGTGCCCTCCTAACTGAAGGAGGGGCAGTGGGCAGTGAAGTTGCAGGTGGTTCAGGTCCTGGCTGGATTCTGCCATTCACTGCAGGTGGCTTTATCTACATAGCCACCGTGTCTGTGTTGCCTGAGCTGCTGAGGGAGGCATCACCATTGCAGTCACTTCTGGAGGTGCTGGGGCTGCTGGGGGGAGTTGTCATGATGGTGCTGATTGCCCACCTGGAGTGAGAGGTGGGACTAACTGCCCCCACCCCAGCCCCAAATCTGTAAGCTGTCTGTGTCAGGGGTCTGTGGAGGTTGGGGGGCCCTGGCCAGAAGCATCTGCTGAAGAAAGTTGTATCCTGGGGAAGTGCTGATTTTGGCATGAGGGCAACAAGGTTTGGCAGTTTTATGGGGCCTGTAGGGATGAGGATGAGCGGCCAGAGGGACCATTGTGTTGGGCACGTGCTGACCATGTTGTTGAATTTGGGGGGCTAAATGGGTCCATGTAGAAAGCTGGAAGAGACCAGTGATGGCCGCCTACCCCAAGTCTCCTACCCCACCTATTCCCAGCTGCCACACAGATCTCTCCAAGGTCCTCCTTCTTCCTCCCCTCCAGGGAAGATCAGAGCCCCAAACCAGGGGAGGGGCTTTTCGGGATAAACATCTATTAAACATCAATCAATCGTGTGTCCTGATTTGGAAGTGATTCTGCCGGGGCGGGCAGGGAGCTTTAGTTACTAATCTCATGGCCTGATTTTTATTTTGTTTCTAATTTTTATATCGCTGTTTGAATCGAGGGAATGGGGTGGCGACCGGAAATAAAGTCCTCGAGTCTTCCAACCCCAAATGCAGCCTTTGTCTTTTTTGTGGGGGGATGAGGGCCCCTCAATCTTGCCATTCTTAAGGGCCCCGAGTGTTGGTGTGTGGCCACACCTCCGCGGTGGGAGGTCGGCTGGAGCTGGAGGCCTTGGGTATGTTACGTTGACGGGGTTGCAATTGGCCTGGCTTTGCTATCGCCACGCCCCCACTGTGCCTGGATTGGCTCTGTGCTGGATTACCCGTTCATCCACAGCCAGCCATGGCGACTCAGCTCCGGCTCCGCTCTGCAGTAGCCCTGGTCACAGGTTGAGGGGGTGTACTTTCAGGGAGGGGTCGGGTACCAGAATGCTGTCAGGGGTGTGCCCTTGGCCTGTGCAGCCGCTGGGACTTCTGGCCGCTGGTACAAGTTTTACTAACTTTGCGTCTTGTTAACCTCTGACCCCTGCTCATTTCTCCCCATACCCCACCCCTTCGTGTTCTTTCCTGTCACAGGTGCGGGTAGCGGCATCCGCCGAGCAGTCAGTGTGCGCCTGGCCCAAGAGGGGGCTGCAGTGGCTGCTTGCGACCTGGACGGGGCAGCGGCACGGGAGACGGTGCAGCTGCTGGGCGGGCCAGGGAGCGAGAAGAGGGCCCACGCTGCCTTCCAGACAGACGTGTCTGAGGCCGGGTCCGCCAGGCACCTGCTGGAACAAGTGCAGGTGAACGCGAGCAACCTCATTCCCTTTAAAGCGCTCCACTGCCTCCACTGCCCCTAGCTGTTCGTGTTTTTTTGGTGTGTAACCTCCCTCTTCCATAGGCCTGCTTTACTCGCCCACCATCTGTCGTCGTGTCCTGTGCGGGCATTACCAGGGATGAGTTTCGACTTCACATGTCTGAGGATGACTGGGACAAAGTCATAGCTGTTAACCTCAAGGTGGCGACCTCTGAACCTGTGACTTCTGGCACCTTTAGCCTGGGAAGGGAGTTGGAGGATGACTGTCACCACAACTGATTCTTTTTCTACCTCGTTACTCTTCTCCCCCCTCCCCCCAGGGCATCTTTCTAGTCACTCAGGCAGCAGCCCAAGCCCTGGTGTCCAGTGGTTGTCATGGCTCCATCATCAACATCAGTAGCATCATAGGGAAGGTCAGGTTGAGTTGGGATGAGGTCAGGGTGTAGAGAGGAGGGCCTCTCCTTTGGACTCCTGATTCATCCCAAATCTCTAACTCACCTATAGGTGGGGAACATGGGACAGACAAACTACTCAGTGTCCAAGGCTGGAGTGATTGGGCTGACCCAGACTGTAGCTCAGGAGCTTGGACGGTTAGTCAGACACCTGACGGTATAGGGGACTTTGCTGCAGCATGTCAGAGGTCTGAGGGAGAGGTCACTGGTCAGTCTTCTCCGGAGTCAGCAGCCACTCTCCCTTCCACAGATATGGGATCCGCTGTAACGCTGTCCTTCCATTACAACACCTATGACACAAAGTGCCACAGAAAGTGCTGGACAAGGTAGGAGGCCATGGGTGGAGGGCAGAGAGCAGAATCGTTAGAGACCCAGCTTCTCTGGGCTTGAGAGAGCAAGTAAATGCTGGACACAGTGCCTGGCAAGAAGTAGGTAATCAGTAAGTGCACAAGGTTTGAAGACAGAAGGAAAAAGGGTAACAGATTCAATCTACAAAAAAATCCACAAAAGAAACTTTCAGCCACATATGAGTGTTTTGTTACAGATAACTGCAATGATCCCAGTGGGACATCTGGGAAACCCTGAAGGTGAGCACTGAGGAGGAGGAGGCCCTGGGGAGGATCCTGAATGAACAGATGCCAAAGTCTATGGTATCTGAAAGGGTCTCACCGGGGTGGATGGTTGGTGTGTATGTTTTGGGAGGTGGGGGTGTTATTGGTGGGCTCCTTTGGGTCTATGAGTGAGTAGGATTCTGCCCTCTCCTCATTATTCCCATAGATGTGGCAGATGTGGTCGCCTTCTTGGCATCTGATGACAGTGGATACATCACCGGGGCCTCAGTGGAAGTCACCGGTATGAGGCCATCCTGGGCAGGGAGAGGGCAGAGAAGTGGAACCCAGATGACATGTGAAAGCATATGAGGGGAGTCTGGAGCCACTGAAGAAGGGCAGAAGTTCTCAAAGGCCAGGGACAGGAGAGGGTGGGTGCTCCCCGGCCCATTTGTCTCCACCTATGCATTTGTCCAAATGTTTCTGCCCCTCCCAGGAGGTCTTTTCATGTAACTGCCTCAAGGACCCTGGACTCTGCTCACTCCCCCACCACTCTGCCGGGCCTCCTGCTGATGAGAACTCTGAGTTCCCAGGCTACAAAAAGGGTGGCAATGTATGGCTCAGGAATGCTGAATATGGGAGGCAGGGGTGCTTGTGACCCTAATAAATTCCAAATCCTCTTCCCTGCCACCTCCAGTTCTTGTGTCCAAGCCCTCAGACCCTTCCCCACCTCCCCCTCCTTTCCCTCTCCCGAAGGATTGTTCCCTTTCACTGCCTTGTCTCCCAGGGCAACCCCTGCCGCCGGGTGTGAGAAGAGTATGTGTTACTGTGTATTCCTGACACTCTGGGTCTTTTTGGAGGGAGGGGTCTTTGCCCCACCCCCTACCACTAGTCCTGCAGCCTGAGTTTCCTCCCCCCAATACCCTGGGTTCTTATGGTCCCCAAGAGTGATTTGTTCATGGCCCCATCCCAGTGTCCAGTCTGGCCCTAGGAGGGGGTCTTGGAACAGGTGGCACTCTCCCACCCACCCCTCTCCTTTCTCTGAGTTTTCCCCTCCCCTTTCCACCTTACAATAGCTGCAGCCGGCCTGGGGTCCGATGGGGGGATTACAGGAGGGGGCCAGGATTAGGGGAATGGACCAGCGATGAAAAGAGCTGGAGAGTAGAAGGGAGGGGGCTGGAAGGAGGAGGAGGAAGGGGAGGGGGTCTGGCTAATCGACTCTGGAGCCCACATAAGGACTGGCCACGGACTGAAGGAGAGAGGACAGGGAAGTAGGGGGGAACTGGGGGAGGGGGCGAGGGGACCCACTGCTTCCTTGTCCCAGACACAGACCACCCCCTGGCCGCAGCAACCCAGGTCCGGGATCCCCAGCTCAGGCAGCAGGAGACGGGGACGCCTATCACGGTCTCTTTTCCCATGAATCTCTCTCATTCCCTGCCCTCAATGGGGGTCGCTCTGCCCCTTCCTCTTCCTCTAGCCTCCCGGTCCCCTTCCTTGACTTCGAAGTCCTGCCCGGTTCCCACTGCAGACATTCGGCCCTTTGTGCCCCCCACCCACACGCGCACACCCCCTTCCCGACAGGGGCTCCATCTTGTGTGCGTGTTCCTGCTTCCGCGTGGTGCCTCCGTTACCCCGTTTCTCCCGTGCGCCTCCCTCCCCCGCCCCGGGCCGCGGCTCCTGATTGTCCAAACGCAATTCTCGAGTCTCTGGCTCCGGCCGAGAGTTGAGTCTGGACGTCCCGAGCCGCCGCCCCCAAACCTCGAGGGGAGAGCAGGTCGGAGGGTCTAGAGGCCAAGAGGAGGGCAGAGCAAGTCCCCAGGGTGGTAGGGGAATCCCGGGCACTTCGGGACTTAAGTTGCATTCACAGGACTGGAGGACAGAAGCGGCAGAGGATCCTTAGCAACTTTTTCCCCCTGAATCCCGGGCTGAGGTTACGAAGAAGTTGTGTGTGGGGATAGAGAGCCTTTCCCTAGAGCCGCTAGGGGACACGGAGTGGGGGAGGTGGCCCTTTTGCAACGCCACCGATCCATCCCCTCCCGAGATCCCAGCGATTCCAAGGCCCCGCCCTCCAGAGGCACCGGGCGGGGGCCGAGGGAAGGGAACGAAGGTGGAGGTTGGCTGCACGACGGTGCTGGGCCGGGGGCGGAGACCGCGGTCCCCACGTGGCGAGGGACTCTGGGACGCCGCTCCTGGCTGGGGGCGGGTGCGTTCCAAAGGCCGGGGAACCCGAGTGTCCACGTCGCGTCCCACCCGCGCCGCGAGTGGCGGGGTGACGTCTCCGCCAGCGGGGCGGGGGGGGGAGTGGAGTGGAGGGGCAGGCGGAAGTGACGTAGGGCCCCAGCTCCCGGGTCTTGCGGCGGCGGCGGCGGCGGCGGCGGCAGCGGCGGCGGCAGGAGCTACTGTTTGAGCAGCGGCTGTGGACCGAGCGAACTCGGCCCGGAGTCGGTACCCCGGGCGCGGCGCTGCGGCAGCGGTAGCTGAGCGACTGCGGGACCCTGGTGAGGGGCCTCGCCGGAGCTAGGGAGCAGAGGGGAAGGCTCTGGAGGGGCGGGGTCTGCGGGAGGGGGGTGTCCCCTAACCCTGTCCCTTCCCTTCCCCTTTCCCCCTTCCCCCTCTTCCCAGCCCACCTCTTCTCCTCCTCCGCGGAGGAGCCCCGGAGGGGGTCGGTACTAGCTCACCATGACGACGCCGGCGAATGCCCAGAATGCCAGCAAAACGTGGGAACTGAGCCTGTATGAGCTCCACCGAACCCCGCAGGTGACAGCACTCTCCCATCACAGCTTACTCCCTCTCCACAAGCCACTCAATCCTCACACCTCTTCTCACAGCCTCTTTTCCATTTTTTGCCCTTTTCTACGAAACCCACCCGATTTCACAGAATCCCTTGGTCCTACCTTTGAATCACCTTAACCTTTTCAAACCACTTTCACATTAATTTAACCCTCAGAACAGCCAAAGAAGTAGAGCAAATATTACTGCCTTCTTTTGAAAGGTAGTAAACAGAAATCACCTTCTCTTGTTCTTCAGTTCAGTGTCACAGATCAATGCCTATAAGACTCGCCTTGGGAGTTTATTGAAAATGGAGCTTTCCAGCCTGCCACCACCCCCCTTCTCAGCAGTCTGATACAGTAATGGGATGGGGTCCCATAATCTGATATAGGTGCAGTAGTACCAGGGCCACACTTTAAGAAATTCTGTTGAATAAGTCTTCGCCAAACCACCAGTCTGTGCCACCCCCACCCCAGGTGTCTCTCTCAACCTCAGATCCTCTTGGGGCGAAGCTCCAACTCTTGATTAAGGGACATTAATTCTTTCTTTTTTCTATTCCCTCCAAATCAGTAGCTCCCTCACCCCAGAATTCCCATCTTTCTCAAGTGGCCAACACGGGGTACCCAGATTCTTCCATCTTGATGTATTTCTGAAAGTTTCCATTTCATGGATAACTCCTTTCTTCTTTTCTTTATTGATTTTAGAGAGAGAGGAAAGAGAGAAACACTCACTTATTGTTCCACTTATTTATGCATTAATTGGTTGATTCTTGTGTGTTTCCTGACTAGGAATCTAACCAGCAACCTTGGCATATCCGGACTGCACTCTAACCAACTTAGCTATTAGCTGCCTGGCCAGGGTGGGCCACTTGTTTCTAAAGCTCTTTTCCCCCAACCCACCCCCACCCACCTTTCTACTCTCTGATGCTTCCAGGAAGCCATCATGGATGGCACAGAGATTGCAGTTTCCCCTCGGTCACTGCACTCAGAACTCATGTGTCCCATCTGCCTGGACATGCTGAAGAATACAATGACCACCAAGGAGTGCCTCCACCGATTCTGCTCTGACTGCATTGTCACGGCCCTGCGGAGCGGGTAATAGGAGGGACACACTTGAAATGAGGTAAAGGGTTCAGAGTTGAGGCCTCAAATGCCTTGGCTGCTGACTGCTCAGGGCCTTTTCTCTCCCACCCAGGAACAAGGAGTGCCCCACCTGCCGCAAGAAGCTGGTATCCAAACGATCTTTACGCCCAGACCCTAACTTTGATGCCCTGATCTCGAAAATCTATCCCAGCCGGGAGGAATATGAGGCCCACCAGGACCGTGTGCTCATCCGTCTCAGCCGCCTGCACAACCAGCAGGCACTGAGCTCCAGCATCGAGGAGGGGCTGCGCATGCAGGCCATGCACAGGTTCGGGGCCAGCAGAGAAGCGGTGGCAGGGCTGGTGGGACAGATCCATGGGTCACATTCCTGGTACTGACTTGGCTGCCTGCCATCTTCTAAGCCTTAGCACCCTAAAAGTTGACTATGACCTGAGTGTCAGACCTGGAAGTCAAGGATGTAGATTATGCCTTCTTAGCAAATGGCACTACTATTTTTGAGAAGAAAATAGCTCACCTTCTAACTCTCTGTAAATTAGAACAGTAGAGTGATTTGGAGTATAAGCTCCAGAGTCACACTGCTGGGAATTAATCACCCCCTAGGCCAGCACTGCTATCTTTAATGTGTATCCTGAGGGTCTTCTGAGAAATGGAAATTCTGACTCTCTAGGTTTGGAGTTGGGCCTGAAATTCTATAAGCCTGGGCTGCTGGTCTTGGACTACACTTTGAAAGGCTAGGGTCTGTGGCCTCAAGCAAGTTATTCAACCTCTATAAGCCTCGGTTTCCTTAGCCATGAGAGATGATATAATAACCTGCCTCATAAGACTTATATTATAGGAGGCGATTAATGTAAAACACTTAGCAATGTGCTTGGCACATACGTAGTTAGTAGTTAATAAATATTAGGTGTCATCCTTAAAATATCTCTGATCTCTTAAATCCTAAGTTTAAAACCTAAACCCCTTATCCTTGATGCTTTCTAACCTCAACCACTTGCTTCCACAGGGCCCAGCGTGTGAGACGGCCGATGCCTGGGTCAGATCAGACCACCACCATGAGTGGAGGGGAAGGAGAACCAGGGGAGGGAGAGGGGGATGGAGAGGATGTGAGCTCAGACTCTGCCCCTGACTCTGCCCCAGGCCCTGCTCCCAAGCGACCCCGTGGAGGGGGTGCAGGCGGGAGCAGTGTAGGGACAGGGGGAGGAGGCACTGGTGGGGTGGGTGGGGGTGCTGGTTCTGAAGACTCTGGTGACCGGGGAGGGACCTTGGGAGGGGGTACCCTGGGCCCCCCAAGCCCTCCTGGGGCTCCTAGTCCCCCCGAGCCAGGTGGAGAAATTGAGCTCGTGTTCCGGCCCCACCCACTGCTCGTGGAGAAGGGAGAATACTGCCAGACTAGGTGAGAGTGCTGTCTTTCCCCAGACCACTGAGAAATCAAAGATCACATAGACTTTCATCATGAGTTGGCTTTGCCTAACCCAAGAAAGAAGCCCTAGTCCAGAAGCCCTTTTGGAAAGTCCCCTACTTCCCTTTTGCATTTGAAGCTTCCCATACCTTAAATGTGCCCTTTCCTACCCCAGGTATGTGAAGACAACTGGGAATGCCACAGTGGACCATCTCTCCAAGTACCTGGCCCTGCGCATAGCCCTGGAGCGGAGGCAGCAGCAAGAGGCCGGGGAGCCAGGAGGGCCTGGAGGGGGCGCCTCTGATGCTGGGGGACCTGATGGGGGTAGCGGGGAGGGCGGGGGTGCTGGAGGAGGTGACAGCCCGGAAGAGCCTGCCTTGCCCAGTCTGGAGGGTGTCAGTGAAAAGCAGTACACCATCTACATCGCCCCTGGGGGTGGAGCTTTCACGGTGAGAGCCTTTGAGGGCAGTGGGGGGCAGGGTGCCACACACAACCATGACCCTGACTTCTGACCCACTCTCTTCCTCTGCATCTCCCTCTCTGTCCTTTCTCCTCCATCACTCCATGTGCCCTTGCTTTGCCCCATCTCTTTTTATTCCTCTTTCTTGCCTCCTTCCTTGGTCACCTCTCATTCATTTCCTTTATTGTCTTCTCCAACTTTATTTCTCTTCACCTGCTTCTTCCTCCCACCCTCTCTGTAGACACTAAATGGCTCTCTGACCCTGGAGCTGGTGAATGAGAAATTCTGGAAGGTGTCTCGGCCATTGGAACTCTGCTATGCTCCCACCAAGGATCCAAAGTGACCCCACAAGGGGACAGTCGGAGGATGGAGACCATGGGGTATCCCTGTGTCCTGTCCACCACCCAGCTTTTGTCCCCCAGTGCCCTCCCAGCCTGGCCAGCCAGCAAGAGGACACAAATGAGGACATGTGGCTTTTCTACAAAGTATATCAGATTCTTCTATATTGTACAGAGCAGGGCGTGTACCCCATCCACTGCCTTTTCTATTGCCCCAAACCTCCCATCTACATGAGACGTTGGGTAAGCAGAATAACCCTCCTTTCACATCCTCTGCCAACAACAAATTTGCTTTTGTTCCTCTTTGAAACCTGCAGTTTTGTGTGTCTCTTTATCTGGGGTGTACTAGAAGGAAAGGGTGGGAGGTCTAGAAATCTTGTAAAATCAGCTTTGGAAATGGGGAAGAAAGGTCAAAGTTTATTCAAAGTGAGTAATTCCCATATTTCTGAACCTCCAAAACAGCAAATAAGTACAAAAGTAGGGAGAAACAATCAGGAAAGCTGGAAGAGACAGGAGGAACAGCCCAGGGGTGTGTGAAGTCAGGTTCCAAACTTGCCCGCTAAATCCTGATTCCCCCGGGCGGAAACCAAAAGTTTCAATACTAAAAAGAATGAAGGAAAGTGGTTAAAAGGGAGTAAGGCAGGGGAACAGGGCCGTGATGTTTGCAAGGGGAATAAATCTGACTGCAAGAAGCTAATTTCTATAGCTGGGAAGAAAAGAGGGAGGGCTGTGGGGGGCGGAGGCAAGAACCTCCCTGCTCGACGTGCTGGGAGAGGAGTGGGCGGGGTGTATAATTCCCGGGCGAAGGAGCTAGTTTTCCCCACCCCACCCCCGGCTGTCCTTTGGTGCCTGTTCGGGCAGCGCTGGGAGTAGAGCTGTTGGGTATCAAGTGAAGCCATCGCTCCTACCGATCTGATTTTGGTGGGCAGGACCGAGGACTCGGGCGCGGGGCTGCGCGAAGCGAGTCAGAAAGAGGAATCAACCGCCTGCCCGGGAGGGACTGATGCTCCCTCTCCTGGCTTCAGTCTTTCTGTCCCTCATTTCCTTTTACGTTGCCGTTCGCGCCCCACATTCATCTGCCCCAAATTCCTGTGGTTTGCTTGGTTCTCTGCCCTGCTGGCAAAGGAGTCAGCCTCGCTGTGAGCCCCAGGGCACCCCACTCTACACTTGAAATTTCTCATATGTTCCCCTCATTCCTAGTTACCCTCAGTACCACAGGACGCAGTGGGAATCCTCCAGCCTGGGCGAGCACTGCAGACCTGATGATCTCTCGTGATCACCCCCAGACCTCTTGTCCTGCAGAAACAGACAACACCCACTCTTACCCTCTTAGGAGCCCCAATTTAAACCCGCCTCTCGGGAACCCTAATAATGACCCCCATTCTCCCCACCCCCAAGTATCCGGGGAGTGTTGAGCTCCTGGAATTGGGTGTTGCTCCTGGAATTTCAAAGAAGAGAAACATGCAGAGGAGCCAGGAGAGGAAGCCCAAGAGTACAGAATGCACTGAGCTTTACTTTTGGGTCCAGGAGGGTCGCCCCCTCACACTCCTCATTCGCCCCAGCCCTAACCAATCCAACAGCCTCTTCTGTCTCTATTGCTCGTCCTCTTGACTCTCTGGAACGGCCTGCGGCCCCTTGCACCTACCTGTCTTTCCTCACACAGCCCTTCTATCCCTCCTCAGTCCCCAGCCGCCCTCACCACCGAACCTCTCACATTTCTCCGCCTGCCCCTCTCTGCTAAGAGTGCTCTCTCACCTACCTGTGGCCCCACGACAGAGAACTTTGCAGACATGACTGTTTATTTAGGTGACGCTGTGAGGAGATACGCGGAAGTGGTGACCTAAGTAAGTCTCCTCTACCTACAAACCAAGAAAAAAATAACTGCCACCTGGCCAATTTTCCCTCCCCGGTGACTGATAGGCTCCCCTCTGAATCATTGGGATAGCTGGAGAGGCTGGGAATGGCCTTCCCTAATACATACTGCACTGCCAAGAAAGAGAGGCCTTTTTGAAATGCAAATCTGATTGTTTCAGGCACTCTACTTAAACTCATTCAGTGGCTTCCCATCCATCTCAGGTTAAAGACCCAAATCTTTAACCTGTCCTCTAAGACCCTGCAGGTGTGGTCCAGCCAGCCTCTCCAGCCTCAGCTCGCACCACACTCTCCCCTCACCCCTGAATGCTCCACTTCCTGTCAGCAAGTGCTTCCTACCGCAGAGAGCCGTTGTGACGACTGAACCCTCCGCCCAAAAGGCTCTTCTTCCATTTCTCTCCTTCAGATCTCACCTCCTTGACCCCCACTCAGGGGAGGTACCCTAATCAGGTACCCTTTCAGGGTCAAATTGACCCTTTCTGAGCCCCCACACCAAGGTACACCCAGTCAACTCAGTGTAGTTACTGTGCACATTTGCTGGTGATTATTCGACGTCTGTCTCCCCACGGAAAGTAAGCTGCTGAGGGCAGGGGCCATGGCTGCACTGCTCACTCTTGCCATTCCCTGGACCTAGAACTGAACACAAGTGGTGAGCTGGAATATTGGTCAAATGGAGGCATGTGTGCCAGAACCTGGGGACAGGGGCTAGATTTTTCAGGCTTTGGAAGGCAGCATGAAATAACGTGGCAACAGCACAGGATTGAGAACCAGAATATCTGGGTTCAATAACTAGTTTAAAACTATTAGCGGTGTGACCTCTAATTATTAGCAGGCTGTGAAAGAACTCTGAACCCTAACTTTCTTATCTATAAAACAGGAACAACTTCAGAATCAAACTAGATAGAAGAATTAGAAAATCCAAAAGCAACATCACCTAGAAATACTAGATAAAATATGAAAAAAAAAATTAAACATATGACTGAGTTCTTAAAAGGGAAGTAAAATCCTGTGTCTTAGAAACAAAGAGGAGCTGGGGCTGGTGTGGCTCAGTGGATTGAGTGCCAGCCAGCGAATGGAAATGTTACTGATTCAATTCCCGGTCAGGGCACGTGCCTGGGTTACAGACCAGGTCCCCAGCTGGGGGCATGTGAGAGGCAATGTATCTCTCACACATCGATGTTTCTTTCCCTCTCTTTCTCCCTCCCTTCCCCTCTCTCTAAAAAGTAAGTAAAAAGAGGAGACTGAAACCAGAGAATGAGCTGACCAGATCTAAAGTTATGAGAAGGGGCCTGGGTGGTAATTGGTTCTGTTACTCAGGGCCTGAGTTTTAGCCACCTGGGGACAGGTGATGAAGGTCTTGATCCCGAAAGTGGGGGGGAGGGGTTTGGAATTTGATGAAAGGCAGTCAAAACTGATAAAGAAATAGACCCTCAACAGATCTATAAATTCTAATAAATTGAGCTAGAAGCTAAAAATGCATACATCCAGTACCTAGATACTTTTATAGATGTATTCTGCCAACTCTTAAAGGAACTGCTTATTTATTTATGTAAACTGTCCCAGAAAATGGAAAAAGATGGTCAACCACACTTATAAGACTAATAATCCTAAATAAAACATCAGCAAGCCAAATCCAGTAGAGTTAGTGCATGTGTGTACACACATTTGCGCTGTGTGTGTGTGTGACAAAGAAGGGAATTCCAGGAATGCAAGGATGGTCTACTTTAAAAGTCCATTAATGATATTTATGACATTGACATTTTAAAAAGAACAGAACGTATCATTGTCCCAGTAAGTACAGTGAGTACATTGGATAAAGTATTCAATATACCACAAATTATTGATTTTTTAAAATGTGGCTAATTAGGAATACAAAATTATTTCTAACTTCAATACAAGAATACTAGTTTCTACTGTTTGTATTCACCATTGGGGATGTCTGAGCTGGCACATTTAGAATAAGAGGAAATAAAGTCCTCACTATACATAGATGTTGATTACTTACAAAGAAAATACACAAGAACCTACAAACAGAACTAATATACCCCTTTCTGGAGGCAAGAGGAATATACAAACATCAATATGCCTATGACCCAGACATAAACAAATAGATTTTGTTTTCAGAAAATACCATTTGTAATAGCAACAAGAACTATAAGATACTTAGGAATAAATAAAACAAAATGTGACATGATCTTTATGGGGAAAATTATAACTTTATTGGAGAACATTTTGAGAAAAAAAAAGACATAACAGAATGGAGAGGTATGCCATGCTCATGAAAAGGAAAATTCAATGTAAAGTTGGTAATTTTTCTCAAGTCTACAAATTCAGTACAATTCTCATCAAAACTCCAAGATATTTTATGGAACTTGACAAGCTGTTCTCAAAATTCCTATGGAAAAGTAAATGGCCAAGAAAAGATAACATAAATTTGAAGTGGGAGAATGAGTACCAGAGTACTTGCCTTATCATATGTCACAACTATATCCTTAAGATAGAGTAATTAACACAGTGTAGTTTTGGCACATGGGCAAATAAGTGGACCACCGGTAAGGAATAGAACTTCTTGGAATCAGACCCCTAAAGATATGAGAACTTGCTATGTCACAAAAATCAGTGGGGAAGGATGGACTACTTGTTCAATGTCTTGGATTATTGACTATCCAAATGGAAAAAAGTAGCTTAAATGTGTGAAAAACAAAACATAAAACCATTCAAAGAAAATATATTGATGACATAAAATATAGGGAAGGATTTCTTAAACAAGATATAAAAAGCACAAACAATAAAAGAAAAGATTGACGCATGACTATATATTTTTTAAGTTTTTAAGCATCTATAAGACAAGAGACACCATAACAACATAAAAAGATAAGCCACAGACTTGGAAAATGTTTACAACTTACATGACTAATGAAGAACTAGTATCCAAGATTTATAAAGGACTGCAGATCAGTAAGAAAAGGGCAAGACAGGAGAAAATGAGCAAAAGTTATGACATTCAAGACAACAAAGAGGACTAGGAATAGTAAATAACTCCAATGTCAATACAAGGATGTGAGTTTTTATTGTTTCTATTCACCAAGTTACCAATAAACATTGAAAGGATTCCCAACCTCACAGGGATGTAGGAATGCAAATCAAAACCATGAGATACTACTTTACACAACTGAATCAGCATAATAAAAACCACTCTGATAACCCTAATAGGAACTTGTACATTTTGTGTTGAAGTATGAACAGCTATGACAACTTAGGGAGTTTAGTAATACTTAATGATGAAAATGCACACACTCTAATACCCAGAAACCTTGTTATTAGATGTGTTCCTCAGAAGAACATTTCTACATATGCACAGGAGGCAAGGGTATGAGTGGGCACTGCAGTATCATTTGATCAGCAAGAAAAAAAAATGGATACAAAGCTAATCTGTCC